GGGGGGGGGGTGTTGAAAAATCTGGACCCACCCCTGCTCCTCATTCTCCCTTGTCGTCATGGCCCATCCTCCAATCTTTCCAACATGCCCCCTATTTATTCCACCCTCTTCCTCAACCGTCACCTCTCATCACACCTACATTTCCCTATGAAACCTACCTCTTCCCACCCCATTTAAGTACAGACTGTCACAGACTGCCTCTCACAATACCGCTCTAAGCGTCGTCCTCTAAAAAGTACGTCACGCTAAGAACGTGTAACAGTTTGTGACACGTAGTTGGGGGGGGGGGGTTGAAGCTGGTGTGTGCCGTCACACAATTTATATCTTTTTATCATACAAATAAAACCCGAAAATGACATTGATGTTAAACTTTCTCTTGTGACAGATGTATTCTGAAGGGGGGAGGGGGTCACTTCTGTGCATTTAATAGTAAGGTTATTTTAGATTGTAATTAGTTGTTAATTTTTTCTTTTTTAAATTTCAGTTTGAAACTGTGACGCACCGTACTTTAAGGGAGGGGGAGGGGGAGTATCAGATTTGTGACCGATTGTTATTATCGTTAGTTATGCTATTTAATTTATAGAAATGCATTATTTGGCCTTCGGAAGATAATTTTTTAAAATTATTATACTGTTAGGAATTGTTGTGATACAAAAAATCTAGTAGCCTAAATTTTGAGAATATAAACAGTTTGAAAATTATAATATCTCTGCGTGTTATAACAATGCAAGTGGGTGCAAAGCATTAATTTAGCAATGCAGTTAATTATATTGAATAAATGTGTGTGCGTATGTGTTTTATATATAAAATATGTTTTATTACTTTTAATTTTGAGTTTGATTTTAGTTATTGTTTAAATAATTATTTTCGATAGTGGGTGGGTGAAGTGGAGTGAATAGGTTGATGCGGTGGCGGCGGTCCCTAATATTGAGAGGGGGCATTTTCGGCCAATTGTTGAGTTTTTTCAAGGGTGGCACTAACCCTAGCTAAGCCACAGGATGGGGATATCGTGGATCATTATCATTGGCCTGTGCCTGTATGTAATCTATTTGTGTCCTTGCTTTTATATTTTGTATTTTATCTTGCGAATACATTTTCCGAGTGTATTTTTGTATTAAAGGCTCACATCCCTAATTCCAGTATCATCATTTAAATTTTAATATACATTTTATTTTAGTATATCACTTAACGTACCATTTAACGCTAATCTGATGTTATCTGCGCCCCCCCCCCGCCTCAAACCACTCCATTTTTAATAATATTCGTTTGCTTTCAATCGCGCCTACTTAGAATAAAGAAGCTTACATTATTGACACTTATTAGTATCTTTTGGCAACCAGGCAATCTCAATACAATCTTTTTAAAAAATATGAAAAAATAAATTAGCCAATATGTTTATTGAATGCACATTATTGTCTACTCTACAACGGTATGAATATGCGGAATATGCGTATAATTGATCATCATTGCAAAATAGTATAATTGTCTTTTTTCACCACAAAATATCGGCTTCATCTTTCGAAAGTGATACCATATTATTTTGCGATACAACATAATCTTAAATTAATTAATTAATTAATCAAAAATTAAAACTCAACTTAGTCATAGTGCGAAATAATCAACACTGTGTTTTTGTCAGTTCAAAAAATTGTTGTAAAATTAACATACTTTGGAAATTCATTGTTGTAGTTTTCCCACACAAAAAACACAACTTTTTGTATTATGATAATTATTTAACTTAACTTTTTGAAAATTAAGAGTAGGTATAAATTTTTAATTGACAATTTTTTTGTTTGACCTTATTATAATGTCAATATTTTAATTGTACATTTACTGCTGCATTAACCAATGGCGCGGTTGCTAAGCACAGCGTAGACATAAATATTTGCGCCCAGGAGCAGCCATACCTCCAACAAGGCGACTATTTCGATAGGAGTGAGGGTTAGTTTAAAAACTGACCTTCGTAGTTTATTTTTTAAAATATGGCTACGGTTATTCCTCAAAAGCCAGAAGGCACTTACACATTTTCGAGTCAGCCTAGAGCGGTGCCACAAAGAAAAAAATACAGAGAGCCAAATCCAGTTTTGCAACCGCAAAATCCGTAAGTTTTTTACAATCAAAACTTAAACTTAAAATTTAAAAAATCTCATCAATTTCGATTTGTTCACATAGCAATTCTGAAAAGTATTCAAGCATTTGGTAGGTATATTATAGCTTACTGTTTATGTCGTCCTTATCCAGTCCTTTTAAATGTCCTTTATTTATTCTTTAGTCTTAGACTTAAACTTAATTATAATTATATATATAATACTAATACTAACTAAGAATAAGAATACTGCCAATAGTAATATAAATTAACATAATTATTTGGTTTATTTATAAAATTTATGTGAACTAAAAAGTGCCCAGTGGAGTGATTATGATAATGTATATAATTATAATTACACTCCATTTGTCAATAATTTGTCAGTTTTAGCTTAGGCTTAGTCTAATTAGTTAGTAGTGTAGAGTCTAAAGTCTGAAGTAGACTAAAGATTATAGTTTTGTAAACTATACATGAAGTGCAAGTCAAGTAAGTGCCAAGCAATGGCATAGTTAGGGTTGGTGCCACCCCACCCAACCCCCATATAAAGAAAAAAGTGCTGCCTGGGGTTGACCACCTCATACTCATACACACCCCATCCTACACCAAAATGGTGCCAAGTTTTGCAAACGTTGAAATTATGGATAATCATAGCTTTTTTTAAAATAACAACTTATTATTATTAAATAAGGCATGGACATTTGGAATGACATAAAAACAAGTCAGCTTATCTTTTTAATTCACCAAGTCCAATAACAAATAATAAATATTATATAATTTTGTAATCATATAAATATAACACAAACAAAATTTGATTACAAAATGTTTAGCATACCCCTTCCTCTAAATAAAATTATTGATTTTTATTATAAAATTATTGATTTTTATTATAAAATTAATAACCAAAACCAACTCTTGAATCCTAACATTAATTTAATAATGAATAATGGAATCACCATCAATGTCACCGCAATTAGCATTGATTCTGTAAGTACTTTACATTGTTTTCACACTTTACCAAAAAAAAGTTCATAAATTTAATCATTAGTGCATCAGTCTAATAATCAAATT